ACTACTACTACTACTACTACTACTACTACTACTACTACTACTACTACTACTACTACTATTACCCATTACTATTACATTGCTATGGATAAGGGTGTACGCTCAGATAAAGAGACCTAAGATCGCCAGATGTCATTACTTTTACCTACCCCTTCTCCTCCTCCTCCTCCTCTTCCTGCGCCCCCCACCCTACCTCTATCCCTCTCTTTTACCAACCCCTGTCTTTTTATTTCTTTCCATCCTTCCTTCTTCGCTTCGTTTTTCTTTTTTCTTATCCTCTTGAAACTTTACAATCCATCTAGTTCTTTCCTCGTTCCTGTTCTCTCGAACAATTAGTATAGATTTTAAATACAATCTCGACGTTATATTATGTATGTATGTATGTATGTATGTATGTGTGTGTGTGTGTGTGTGTATATACTTACGTAGGAATTAAAAGTACAGAAGGATAAATAAATTTAACTCAAACGGATTAAGAAAAAGTTATTGTATTAGTATGAATTATTATTAATTTTGTAAAGTGATAGATTGTAAAAGAATGTTTAATATTTTTAATGGAATTTATTGAATTCGATGATAAGTAATGTGAAACGTTTTAGAGTAGTTGATTAAATTAATTAATTAATTATTAAATGATAGATTTTATATATATATATATATATATATATATATATATTTGTGATGAATAATGATATATAGTGAAGATAATGAATAATATTACTATTTTGAATGTTAAAACGCAATAGTGTTTTTTTTTTTTTTTTTTTTTTTTTTTTTTATTGAAAACTTTTCATATTTTATATTTAAATAAAGAGAAAAAATATATATATTTTTTTACAGAAAATCTTTGATATTTTACTTCTAACTAAATAAATAATAATAATAATAATAATAATAATAATAATAATAATAATAATAATAATATATATATATATATACATATATATATATATATATATATATATACATATATATATATATATATATATATATATATATATATATATACACGTATGAATAAAAATACATTATATATGTTACATAATAACTATTGTTTTATTGAATAAATTTATATTATTTTATATTTTAATAAATAACATTACATAGAGTATGTATTATTGAAAACTTTCATTAATTTTTACGTTTAAATAAATAAACAAATAGTTAATATATTTTATATTGAAAATTCCATAATTAATTATTAATCTGCTCCAATACATATATATATATATGTATATATACACAAAATACTCACCCCTTTTACGATCAGAAAAGTATCCTCGATTTAAATGATTGACGATTAAAATAATAGGGAAAAAAAACAAAAAAAAAACAAAAAAACAAAAAAACTAAAGAATAAAATACATTACATATATAAATACATACATATATACATACATACATACATATGTATATACACATTGCCGGTAAATACCCCTGCGAAATATGTGAAAGATTATTTAAAAAAATAATTAAAAAATAAAAAAATAAAATAAAATGATAGAGAGAAAGAGAGAGAGAGAAAGAGAGAGAGAGAGAGAGAAAAGAACAGAGAGAAAAAAAATATATTTTTCATTCAATTTCGAAATGTCTGATTCAAGCGTACCTGACGTTTCGTCGAGTTACATGACAAAACTTCCCTCAAAAAGAAAGTTTTTTTTCTTTTTTCCCTTTCTAAAAAAAAGACTAGAAACTAGAAACTAGAAACAAGAAACACGTAGCAACGACATAGAAAAGAGGAGTGGATTGTTATTATAGGGGTGAAAAGGTATGGGGTGGCTAGGTAGGTTGGAATGATGGGTGGGAAGTATGGAAAGGGAAAAAATAAATTAAATTAAAAGTGAAAAAAGAAAAAGAAAAAAAAAGAAGAGAGGAAAATTCAAAAGAAACAAAAATTGAAATCAGAAAAATATTTGTATACGCACGTATGTATTTTATATGTGCGTATTAATATGTGGTACAATAAAAAAATTTTACATGCATACGAGGACAAAATTCGAACTACTTTTTTTCTTTTTTTTCTTTTTCAACAGTCATGCAAAATAATAAAAACGACGATTTAAATTCCGTATTCCAATTCTCATTGGAAAACTTCGGACGTCGTAATAAAAACGCGATTATTTCGTTGACGTTGCATTTGAACGACATTTCCTTGCGTCTCTTATTATACACACACACGCACACACACACATACAGATATAGGCATAGTATTGAAATGTAATAGTATATAATTACAAAATTTAAACCGAACGATTATTATATCCCAATGTCGTACAATATAATATTCTTCCTTTTTATATTACGTTTTACATTGATATTCCTTAAAATAAATTTATGAAAATTATTTCATAAAAAAATATTTTACAAAAATTTCTTAAAATTTTTTGACATTTAAATATATTCATTAATAAAAAGTTGAGATTGAGAGAGAAAGAGTGAGAGAGAGAGAGAGAGAGAGAGAGAGAGAGAGAGACAGAGAGAGAAAGTGTGTGTGTGTGTGTGT